TAAGAAACTTGACCAGTAGCTCGCTCTGACCTTCCTGCAACTCGGTCTCTAGCTGACTCGGTAGGGAGGCTCTAGCAGCGGCGATCTTCGCATATCTGTCGGCAGCATCGTTGCCTTTGGCTCGTCGCCACTCAGGACTATACTCGGGGAGCTCATTTATATTGACGTGCGCTTCAATCTTGTTTACCCTTGGGCCCAGGGGGGTAGCGCAAGCACCACCGAGGACCTTGACGGCCCCGTAGAAATCGGACCGCGAACAACTTTCCTTTCGGTGCACGTCTATGGCTCCTTGGTAGTCTACAAACATGTGGGCGTGTGGGTGAGCATTGAGTCAAGCAGCAAGCACAGCACAGTGCTCAGCAGCAGGGGAGGAGGGGGGGGTATCTACCCACACGCCCGATGAGGTATGCAAACACGTCACCGTGGCCATCGATGGCCACCACTGACCACCCAGCTACGTTATAATTTCTGTGCCCTCCAGGTTTGAGACAGGACCCATCGGTAAAGATCTCTCCAGCAAGGGCCTCGTGAAGCTGCATGCTGGAGTCTCGACACCAAAACTCGGCATATTCATAGCCAAACCCGTCAGGAGCCCCTGTTTCGAATTCAGGTTGGAACTGGAAACCGTACGCTGCAGCTTGATCCGTCACCTTCGAAATCGTGTCAAGTTCGTCTGCTGTGAGCGCATCGCGTAACTGGGCACTGAGCGGGCAATGTAAAAGGCGGTGACGCAAGTCATCGCATGGGTGCCCGCACTGGCACTTGCCGTCAGAGTCGTATCCAGCTCGCTGCAAGCGCGAGTTGATCCAGATACTCTGGGTGAGAAAACTAAGAAGGGTGGATCTGGCTTTCTTTGGCAGCGTCTTCCCAGCCAACATTTTTCTGGCGATACTGGCGTCAAGGGTCTCCTGGGGGTAACCAAGTTTCTTGGCGGCTTTCCTGAGGATGGCCTGCTCCCAGGACTCTTGCATTTTCTGGGCAATCATTCTGGGAGTGCAGGTTGTTAGTGGGTACCGATACCCATTCGCATCCTGCACCTCAAAAACAGGACAACAACTCCAGCCTATGCGTCGGAGGGACAGACAGGCGGCCCCAAAGGGGCCTCGCTCGGCAGCCCACTTCCTAGGCTGGTTCAGAACAATTGGCTCAGCTAGGCTTTTCAGCTCAAGTAGTTCTCGGGGGTGGCTGGGTCTCGTCGCAGCTCGCCAGATCATGGTCGACCAAGTCAGGGCAGGTCCTAGGCCTGCTCGCCAAGTAGGGTCTCCTAGTGCCGCCAGACTTAAAGATCGACTTCTCGTCGCGCATCGGGGCCCCGCTACGTTCAAGTATTCCGTCTGGAGATTCTGGAGCTCCAGGGGACCCATGCCGACAACCTCCGTTCCATGCGTAAGGGCTTGCTGAAGCCCCGTCTTCCATAGCTTTCTGGTATCGCCTCCAGCTGTCTTGACCGCTCGTATTCGGTGACGTCGTCGTTTATGTTTAACAAAACGCTTGTATATGGTCGCTTTAGCAACACGTCGTCGTACTCGGAGCCTCGAGGCCCCCGCAGCACTGTCGACCCCGAGATTGGTGGCACTGTGGGCATCCTGGGGTCCCGCATACTTCCCGAGGGCCTTCCTAATGTGTCTTCGCAGTCTGGCGGTAGAAGCAATAATCTGAGCTTTGTCTAGCGCCAGCTTGCACTCGAGCTCTTCAGTGACCAGCACTGCTATGCAATTGTCGTACTAGGGCCTGGGGGTATCGGTGTTGCTGTCCCAGGAATAGATCATCGATAAACATCTGGAGGTCCGTGCCCTTGGAGTTTGCTTCGGTCCAGGCGTCCAGGGGGCTCAAGCTATAAACTTGCACCGAGCGTTTTTCCAGGTCTATCTCGACACAGAGGCTCTTATCGATGGCCTCCAAAACATCATCCAAAACTTGTCTCCCATGGGAAATTTCCAGGACCTTGGCTTCCACGTCCAGGACAAGGAAATTGAGGGTCTGGTGGGTAGTCTCCAAGCACTCGCGGAGCGTCTCTATCTCGCAAAACTCGTTCGGGGTGTCCTCTAGGCACGCAATCAGATCGGTCAGGGCGTTAGCACCAAGCTTCGCGGGGGTGAAGTAGAACTGCTGCACGACATTCCGAAGCCATCGGAGGGGGCCTGCCTGGGAGCCCCACGCCACCCGATGTGTCTTCAGAAACTGTTTCGCCTGGACTCATTTGACCCTAGGGGGGCGCGCTCGAGGTCGGGAACTGCGCTTCAAAACCGCGTCCGTCAAACCCGCGATCGTAACTTCCAAATCCCTGGCCAGGTAGTGATAAACTTCATCGAGTACCCGTTGCTTTTCCCCCTGGATCGGTCTATCAAAACTCCTGTCGAGGATGGCTTCGGCAGCGTCTAGCGCAGCTTCTGTGGCAATCCAGTCGCGCTCTAGCAATCTGGGGCCAAAGACAGGCTTGGTAGGCAGCCGACGCGGCTTGCACAAGACAGGGATTGTGAAATCCTCGCCAACCTCGAGCTGCACACTGACAGGAAGATGTGGTGACAGGGGATATGAAACATGAGCAGGAGGTGAGTGGAGTACATGCTGGAGACATCCACTGTATTCAAAGTAATCCAAACATGATTGTGAAGTCTTGGTTCTGCAAGTCGGGGAGGAGGGGCGTATGATCTGCATGCCTGCGCGCTGTATGAAGTCATTATTCTGCAGCTTGCTAGAACTCATGTTGTAGTCCCCAGCTACAAGAATGGGAATCTGGTATTCATGCTGAAGTATGGCGGTGGTCGCCAAGAGGTTCCAATTGGTCTCGTTCAGGCCTGTGCTGACCTGCATGTACACGGAAAGAATTCCAATGACACCAAGCCCAGGCAGCTCTACCCTGGCACCGGCCAGGCGCCCCTGAGGAACCATGTCCTGAGCTTCCCTGGGCACTTTCATATCCTGAGCCCCAAAGTCCCGTCCACTCCTGATCAAAACGCAAACTCCAGAAGCCGGGGCCCCCGTAAAGCTGACTGAGCCTGTCCCAAATAAGGCTTTCCATCCATGCCGTTCACACCATTGACCAGCGTATACGATTGACTGCTCTGTACATAGCTTGGTCTCCTGCGCACATATTACACTGTCACCCTCAGAGGCAGCTGAACGAATGTACGTCTTCACTTGCTGCCACCAACTGCCATTGATCGTGGTGATACGCAGGCTACCCGCGAGACGAGCGAGCGCCACTCCCTTTGCCAGCTGAGGGCACTGCAGCCGTCGCCGAGAGCTTGAGCTTCTTGCTGGCCTCTTCGCTGTCCAAGTCCGCCTTGGCAATGCCCTCCTGGCTGATCTGGAGTGCGTCGGCAGCTCGTTTGCGCGCAGCCTCCATCGCTTCGTCGTCATCGTCTCCTGGGGCTGGTTGGGCAACGCGCGCCAGATCATCATCATCCTCAGCCTTCTCGCCAACCTTGGGGAGGGGGTCGGCATCTGCGTCTTCGCTCGCCTTGGTTGTTGCCGCAGCCTTGGTCGCAGCGTCCTCGCTCTTCTGCTTCGTCTCGATAGACTTCAGCACCTGCGCCACCGCCAGCAAGTGATTGTCCAGCTCCTCAGGGATATGGTCCATTGGCTTGTCGATTCTGGTCGCGATGAGCGTGCGCATCGCCTCCGATATGGGCACCTCCTGCACTGCCTTCTGCGCAGCCGCCTGCTGGGCCACCTGCAGCTGCACCTGGAGCCTCTGCACCTCGCCCGTCGCCTGACCGTGCTCCTCGAGCGCGTTCTTGTGCTTGTCGGCGATCGTGACCAGCTGCTGGGTGAGCTGGTCGACCGTGTTCCTGCACTGACCATGCTTGCGTTTTGCCTGCGCCAGCTGGTCGGTGAGGCTCTGGACTTGTTGATCAGGTGTTTTGTCTTGTAGTGCCACCCGCTTAGCACGTTTGAAACTTTCGACCGCATCCTTATACTCCTGGCTGGAGTCGCCCTTCCACTGCTTCCAGAAGGCCATCTGCGCCTGCGCGAGCTCGATAGCGGACCCGCTGGAGTCCTGCTGCTTGGTGCCGTCCATGAACTTCTCGGTGGTGGGCTCTGCGCGAGCAGGTGGTTCTTCAGCAGCAGCACCTTGGGGATCGCGCGAACGTCCTCGCCAACGACCCCCTCGTCGCCCGCCTGCTTTATGCCCTGCATCTCGTTCACCTTCGTAGTTGACTGACCGCGGGCGGCCTGGTCGTACTCCACCCCCTCCTCCTGGGGGCATGTCATCGTTGAAGGCCATCTTCTTCGCGGCGAGCTTCGAGCCACAGCGCGTGCAGTGGGAAGCCCCGCGGTCGGCCCAGGCCCAGCCGCTGCAGCCTTGCCATGGGCAGACCAAGTACTTGCCGCGCGCCATGCCGCTTCCTTCAGGAGCACTAGTCCTGTCCCGAAAAGGAGTAGTGCAAGAAGGCCCCTCTGGCTGGGCGCGCGGTCCACGCACTGTCGTGGACGGATCGTTGTGAAAGAAGGGGGGCCGCTGCGGCCAGCTCGCCTCGAGCCAGCCCCTCGGCAGCGACCAAGTACGAAGCCGCAGGGCCACGGTTTCGTACTTGAGCCAAAATGGCTACGGGAGGGGAGGGGGAGGAGGAGGAGGAGGAGGAGGAGGAGGAGGAGGAGGAGGAGGAGGAGGAGGAGGAGGAGACTCCGTAGCCATTTTGGCTCAAGTTCGAAACCTTGCCGCGAGGCTTCGAGCTTGTCCGCAGCCGTGCGGCAGGCTCGGGTGATTTTGGCGTGTGATTTCCTGGTGTGCTGCCCTGCCACCAGGCCTGCTCTTCTGAGCTTTCATAGTTGTTCGGTCCCTTGGCAGCCGATGGCTAAGGGAGGCAATGGGTGGCTACGGAATGCATGGGCATGTGCGGCCAAGCGCTGTTCGTGCAAGGACAACTTCGAGTGGCGCACCGAGTGCTACATCTGCGGGGCGCCCAAGCCCAAGGCGCCCCAGCATGCCCTTCCTCGTGCTCCTGGTGGTGCATGGGCTGACCCAGCTCGTGGCCAACTTCGCGGGGGCGCAGGCGCTGGGCCCAAGCCGCGGGCGCTCACCGAGGACGAGCAGCGCGTGTGGCTCGGGCTCAGTGATGAGGAGTTCCGTTCCCTCAGTGGTGTGCTTTCCCAGTCACAGCGTGACAAGTTGCTGCGCCGCCGCGCCATGGCGGAGTCTGGGCTGGCGCAGCCTGCCTGGGACGCCTGGCAAGCCTCGCAGGATGTCAGCTCGCTCTCCAACCAGCTGCTGGGTGCCCGCGGTCGCCTCCAGAAGCTGGAGCAGTCGGCCACCGACATCATGGTGCAGGTCGCCGACCAGCGGGAGGCGGTGCGAGGCCTGGAGGAGGAGTACGCCGCCGCCAGGGCGCGTGCTTCCGTGGCCTTGGCGCCAGGGGCGGCGCAGCTCGGCCCAGAGGTGCGTGCAGCCCAGACCGCCTTCGGCCAGGCGCGCGCCGCGGTGGGGGGGGACGCTCCCCCAGCGGTCGCGGCGCTGGTCGAGGCTTGCGAGCGGCTCCTCGGGGCTGTCGTGGGGGCAGCGGCTGGAGCGGGCGCGGCGCCTGGGATGGGCGCGGGACCTGCTGAGCGTGCTGATGCGGAGCCTGCGCGTGGGGCCTCGCCAGCAGCTGTACGACAGCCTCATTCCCCAGGCGGCGGGCAGGAGGTGGCCGCGGCGCTGTGTCGGCAGACCCAGGAGTTCGCGGCGGCATCAGGACATCCTGGAGGACAGGCCTGGGACGCGGCAGGTGCCGACGACTCCGACTCGGACGAGCCCATGGCTCCCCCCCCTCGTGCCCTTGCCGCTGGGGGGCAGCTCTTCGTGGCGGCGGACCAGCGCGTGCAGGAAGAAGCCACAAGGGCTCTCGCCCGAGCAACAGACCAAGGGAGGCTGCCCGACGCGAGGGGACGCAGCCGTTCCCAGGGGCGAGACCCAGAGGTGCAGTCGGCGCCCGCGGGGGGCGCTGGCCGCGCCCACACTGCGGGTCGCCGCGACGCCCGCGGGGCCAGACCGCGGGGGTAGCCACCAACTGGAGCTGGACAGCGGCACGTCCAGCGACGAGGTGGGTCAGAAGTTGGGGGCACCCTTTGATTGCCCCGCCAGTGTCTGCGAGGCGGCGTCCGCGGACCCAGCGGGCGCCACATCCCGTCCAAACCCTTTGTCGGATCGGCAAGAATTATGGCGAGAACGCGAAGCTGGAGATGGTCCTACGGCGGCTTCAGCTTCACCCAAGTGTTGGAAGTTCTGCACCTGCAACACCACCAGCTGGAGCAGCGTGCAGTGGTTCCTTGAGAATGAGTGCGACGCCGACGTGGTCATGCTGCAGGAGGTGGCCATCGCTCCTGAGCTGCAGCCTGATCGCGAAGCAGCAGTAGGTCGCCTAGGTTGGAAGGCCAAGGCTGCGCCCTCTCGGGACACGGGAGGAGGCCTCTCAGGGGGCGTGTTGGTGGGCACGTGGCCTCACATTGGCCTCTGCGAGGCTCCTGTCCCGAAGCGCCCTTGGCCCTCTGAGCGGGTTCTCCTCATGTGGGTCAACGGCTTGGTTCCTGGAGGCTTTATTGCTGGGTCGGTTTATTTGGTCTCTGGCGGGGGCCTCGATGACCAGAGTTTTCTGATCCTGAAGCAGCTGGGCGAGGCCTTGAAGGCCATGGGGCAGCCGTTCATTCTCGGGGGTGACTGGAACGTGGCGCCTGAAATGTTAGGGGCCTCAGGATGGCCGTCGGCGGTAGGAGGCTCTATCGTCACCACAGGGGCCTACACTTGTCGGAGCTCGGGGTCCTCCACCACCTGGAGCTGTCTGGATTATTTCGTCGTGTCTGCGGGGTTTTTGCATTCGGTGAAGAACTGTCGTCGGCAGGAGGATTGTAGTACGGCCCCGCATTGGGCTGTCAACATGGAGGTCTCAGGCAAGCCGTGTGCCCTGGAGTTGCCCTCCCTCAAGCTGCCCAAGCAGTTCCCGCTAGAGCTCCCCTTCGGTCCTCGCCCGTTAGGTAAGTCATGGGAGGCTGTGCGCACCATCGTCGATGATGTGAATAGCGAATTCGACCTGCCGTCTGCCTACCTCTCGTTCTGTGACGCCGCAGAGGACGAGCTTTCTCTCCTGCACGGGCTGGAGACGAGTGAAGCTAGGCGGTGCAGTGGCCGAGGACGTGGAGCTTCGGTTGTTAGGCGGCCAGTTTTACCTAAGTCTGGAGGCTGTTACCCTAAGGCGTCCCCCGAGGCTAGAGCTTGGAGGCTGATCCAGAATCGTTTGCAAGAGTTGCAGTATCTGGTCAGGAAACGGCAGTGCGAGTCTAGGGACGCCTTGGGTCTTAGGCGTAAGCTGCTGGATTGGTCGGGGCGACTCAAGCAGGACCCAGTCTGGAACAGCTTCAGAACGGATCTTGGGACCCTGGATATACACCCCGATCTTAATCTGGAGTCATTCATCGTCAGGGCCCAGAGCGAGGCCCACAGGATCGAAAGCATCTTCGCGAAGTCCAGGGCCAAGAACTGGCGGGAGCACGTTGCTCGTTCTGTACAAGGAGGGGGGGGTCTGGCTCACAAAGTCACTAAGATCCCCCAGGCCTGGACTCCTGACGAGAGTGCTGGTGGGGCCCCTTGGGGAACCGATCAGCTCCTGGAGGGCCTCACCCAGGAGTGGCAGGGGATCTGGGGGTGGAAGTCTAGTGTAAGTGAGCTGGACCGTCTCGCGGTTATTCAGCAGCACATACAGGCGCTCGACCTCGACCCGACCCCACAGCCTATCGAGTTGCCGCTCATGAGGAGGACACTCGGCAAGTTTAAGAAGTGGACGGCAGTGGGAGCAGACGGTTGGCACCCGCACGTCCTGAACCAGTTGTCCGACGACGGGCTTCTGGCGTTTTCCACCCTCTTGTGGCAGATGGAGAGGCTGGTCGCCTTCCCGTTTCAGTTGTGGAAGATTGTCATTGGGTTTTTACTGAAACCAGAAGGGGGGAGGCGTCCAATCGGCATCTTGACCACGTGCATGCGCGTTCTCTCGGCCTGCAGGAAGTCTGAGGCTAAGCAGTGGGAGAGGGAGCATGAGAGGGATTGGGTCTACGCCACGCAGGGGAAGAGTTGTGAGAGGGCGGTCTGGGTTCAGTCCGCCATGAACGAGTGGGCCTCTCATCACAACCAGTCTTCAGCCTCAGGCCTGGTTGATCTTCAGAAGGCGTATGAGCATGTCGGACACGTTCGCCTTTTGGATTTCGCGGTGCAGCACAGTTTCAGCCCGCGCAGAGTCGCCCTCCTGGTCACTATGTACAGCGCCCCTAGGGTTCTGCAGGTGGGGCTTTTCGTTTCGGAGTGGTTTAGAGTTGCTCAAGGTATCCTCGCAGGGTGTGCATATGCTACGATGCTCCTCCGTTTGTACCTCACCAGTACTCTTGACTCGGTCATCCCTCTCGCCGTCAACATCTCTGCCTACCTAGTGGTGGATGACTGTACGTTGTCAGTGATCGGGCCAGCCGAGATGGTATTTCGTGGGCTGGTACGAGCGCTCCACGCTTTGTGCAGCAAGCTGGAGGATCTCGGACTGAAAGTGTCTCCCACTAAGAATAGAATCGTTGCGTCGTCCAGGACCATGGGTAAGGCTATATCCAGCAGGCTTCGTCGGTGGAACTTCGTGGTCGTCGACGGGGTCAAGAATCTTGGGATTGACTTTTCGTGTTCAAGGGCGGCTCGCAGGGTCCAGAAGGGTCGGATTCTGAGCGTTAGAAAAAAAGGATTCGCAGGTTTCGGTTACTCAGCTCGTCGCGAAAGGGGCTATCTCGGATATTCAAGGCAGGAGGAGCTCCCGCGGCCCTGTATGGTACCAGAGTGACGGGAATGAGTAACGCGGATCTCTCCTCCCTGAGGGCTGCTGCTGGGTCGGCGCTGTTTGGGCCGTCGGCAGGCAAGAGCCGCTCGTTGCAATTTTTTCTCAGCGAGGACCCCAAGTCCGATCCCGTGTATGCGGGCAACGCCTTGCCGCTGGTGTTCTGGGGGCGCGCGATCGTCGAGGGCTGGCTGTCGAGAGATATCTTGGGGTCCCTTTTTGCCAAAGCGTTTGCTAAGTTTAACGGCAGGGTCCGTGGGCCCTGCTCGGCTGTTTTGGCCACCTTGAAGCGCCTGGGTTGGACGCCGCAGAGTGAGTCGAGGTGGGAGGCGGGTGGGGTGCTGGTTGATCTGACGGAGGTCCACCCTGGCTCGCTTCGAAAAGTTGTCGATTTAGGAACGGAGCTTGCGCTCCTACGGTGCCTCCCTGGGCCCCCTGGTTTGGAAAACCTGGGGGGACCCCCTCTCCTGGAGCCCATCCGTCAGGCTCAGCAGCAGCTTCGACGAGAGGGATTCAAGACGGCGGCGCAGCTCCTCGGGACCCATGTCGCGGGGGGGCTCTGGACTCAGGCGCGCCTCTTCGCGGCACGGTCCGTCGACTCGCCCTTGTGTCAGGTCTGCAAGGCGGAGCCAGGAGACGAGGGGCATCGTTTGTTCAGATGTGAATTCAGTGCTGTGGTCAGACGCGAGCTTGACCTGGACGACGTCACGCGTGCTGGCAGAGAATGCGAGCATCAGGATCCCCTCCTCCACAGGGGCCTCGTGGACTCTTTGCTTGACCTCCAACCTCCCCCGAGGCTCGATGGGCTCGTGGAGTATGACGGGCCCTTGGTGGGAGGGGCCCTCTCAGGTCTCGTTGGCATCGACGGGTCCTGTTTGGCGCCCAATTTTCCTCTGGCTTCTAGGGCTGGTTGGTCTTGCGTGAAGATAGACCGCCATGGGAACTCTGAAGGAGCCATATTTGGGCCCCACCCTGGTGTCTTGCAGGAGATCGGAGCAGCAGAGCTCTGGGCCTTTTATATGTGTCTGTGCAATTGTGTAGGCGAGGTTACTGTCGTCACCGATTGTAAGTCTCTCATCGATGGTGTGGCGGCAGGGCCTGAAGCGCGCTGCCGTCCCACAAAGGTGTATTCTGAAGTTTGGTGCAAGATTTGGTTTAAGATCGACGAGATAGGTCTTGAGCAGATTCACTTGCACTGGATGCGAAGCCACGAATCCTGGACTCATGCGCAGGCACAAGGGGTCCCGTGGCTTCACTACAGAGCTAATAAGCTAGCCGATTTGTATGCCAAGAAAGGCGCGAGGTTGCACCCTTTTTCTGAGGAGGTAGAGGAGTTGAGGCCGCTTTTGTGGTGGTCGGCCTATTTCGTTGCCCTCTACTCGGGCAGGATCCTCGCGCACCTCGCCGCCTCTTCTTTCCCCGATGCTCTCAAACCTCGGCTCCGTCGCGCTTTCGACCCGCTCGAGCTCGTGTCGGATCCCAAAGGGCATCAGGCGAAGTATTCTGGAGGCCGCTGGGTGTGCTTGTGTTGTGGCCGCAGCTGCTCGACCCGAGCCAGGCTGGTGCACGACAGGTGCCCTGGGGTCATGGCGAAGCTGGCTCAGGCACATTGGTCTCACAGGCTCCTGTGCTCGGGGGGTCCTGGCGGTCTTGTGTGGTGCAGTGTGTGCGGGGCGTATGCCAGGCGGCAGGTTTTGGCCCTCGCGGACCGCTGCGCAGGACACCCCACGGATGGCCGAGCACGGGCCTTGCGCCAATTAAAGCAGGGGCTGGACCCCTCCTCCAAGCGGCCCATCCCCCGCTCTTGCCCCGTGCAGCCCCCTCTCCATCCCCGCCGCGTCGGGTGGGCTCGGGGGCTGTATGAGGTCTTGGGCGAGAGGCGGGACATCCGCTGGGAGGATTCGGAGTAGGGAGCCTGGAGTGTGTAGGCAGTCCTGAGGCTTCCTCGGCGTGTAGTGGATGCGTTCGGATTGCGGTGGTTCCCTCGGGGGCCGCCGTCAGAGGAGCGGAAAGCGGAAAGAGGAGGAGGAGGAGGAGGGGGAGGGGGAGGAGGAGTAGGATCAGGAGGAGGAGGAGGAGGATAATAATGAGAATAATAATAATAATAAGAAGAAGAAGAAGAAGACGCCCCCCGTCCTCTGGAGCCCGAAGAGCGCGCCGGCGCAGCGAGGCCGACTTTGCGCGCGAGCTCATCAGCTCGGTGGGCTGGCACGCGCAGAACTGCGGCGCGCCCCTGGACAAGGCGCCCTTTGGGGCTCTGGGCCTCCCGGATGGGGTCGGAGTAGGTGGGGTCGCGGAAGCCCCCAAAAAGGGGGGGTGACCACAGCGTGTGGTGAGTCGGTTGGGGATTCGGGGTCACCGCGCGGCTTTGGGACTCGGGTCGTTCTCCGAGGACGTCTCGGGCGGCTGGGGCATCCGAGGTCCCAAAGCCGTGCGTTGACGGACCGTGCGGTGAGGTCTTGGGGGATTTCGAGGTCACCGCACGGTCTGTCACCGCACCGCTTCGGGACTCCAAATAGATGGGGTCGGAGGATCGGGTCACATTGCCGATGCATCGCCGATGCGGTTCGATGTGGAGCCCGACTTGCTTCGCGTCGACGTCGCCGATGCATCGCCGACGTCGACGATCGCCAGTGCATCGCCGATGCCTCGCCGATGCATCGCCGATGTATCGGCGATGCGGCGCGATCTTTCGACCCCATCTACTCGGACCCCATTGTGGAAACCTCTAATCGTCGGACCTACTCGGGGGCGGCATAGAGGGGGGTGATGACTAGGGGCGGTGGATATCATGGCGGGGGCCATGACATCTCCCCAGATTTCATGGCGCCTCTTCTTGCCTCAGTACGCTCTGGCCACCCCCTGGGCCGCGCACATGCCGCCGGCCATGATTTGGGCCCCCCTCTTGGACGCCCCCCTCTTGGACGCCCCCAATATCCCCGTCCCCAGCAAGGATGCATTTCCAGACCTTTTCGTCGCAGCGGCTTGGGGCCAGGCCGCGGCCGAGGCGAGCGAGGGGCGCTGCGGGGCCTCGCTGGGCACCAGCAGGACTGGCGAGACCGGGAAAGGACGCGGCGGACGACGCAGCGCGCCCAGAGCACGGGGCTCGTGTGCGCGAGTGGTGGAGCACAGGCCGGCGAGCAGGCAGTCAGAGGGCGCCTGCTGGCGGCCATGGGCGTGGGCTGCAAGCGCTGGGCTCCCATAGGGAGTCTCAGCACCGGGGCCTGCGTGTGCAGGTCGTGCAGTCCAGAAGCAGGCCCAGACCCCCGACGTCACGATTTTGTTCACAGCGTCGACACCTGGAGTTCTCGACCCACTCCCCTGGGCCGGCTTCTCATCTCGGGTCGTTTTTGACGGCCCCGAGGGCCGGCGAGGGCCCCCAGAGGCCGAATCGGGAGCCTTGAGACGGGAGTCAATGCAAACGGGGGTCAGCCAGGGCGCCAGATCCTGCGAAGACCCCCTCTGGCTGACCCGGTTTAGCGAGCCGCTCGTGGCCGCGAGGCGGCCGCGCATATTGGCTGACCCGGGTCTGCGAAGATCTGCGTTGCAGTTTTTGTTGTTCCTGCACTGCAGTTTTTGGCTTTCCTGCTGACCCGGGCCTGGACTGACCCGGGTCAGAAGATGTCCCCGACCGAAGAGGGCAACAAAACCTCCCGCCACGAGTTCTCCATCGCCCGAGGGGGCCCGGGAGGCCGGAGGTCCTCTGCCCGACGGGCTCGCGCCGCGAAGGCAGACGTGGGGCGGCCGTGGGGGGCCGAGCTGCGGCCCCCGCGCGGGCCCCCGCCGGGGCCCTCGCTGGAGGAGGGGAGGCCCCGCGCCCCGGGCGTCTGCGGCCACGTCGGGCACGGGTCTCTCTCTCTCTCTCTCTCTCTCTCTCTCTCTCTGCGGGAGGGACACTCCAGAATAGCTCCTCCCTCCCGCCTTCCTCCTCCCTCCTCCCTCCTTCCTCCTTCCTCCTCCCTCCTCCCTCCTCCTCCTCCCTTCTCCCTCCTCCTCCTCCTCCTCCTCCTCCTCTCCTCCTCCTCCTCCTCCTCCTTCCTCCTCCTCCCCTCCTCCTCTCCTCCTCCTCCCTCCCTCCCTCCCTCCCTCCCTCCCTCCTCCCTCCTCCTCCTCCTCCTCCTCCTCCTCCTCCTCCCCCTCCTCCCTTCTCCCTCCTCCTCCTTCTCCTCTTCCACGCCTCGGCGCGACACGCTATCCAAGCACGGTTCGAAGCATCGGAGTCCTCTCTCGCTTCTGGAGGGCTGCCCCGCGGCGGGGCTGCGGCCGTGCGAGCGCCGTGCAACTCCCGGCTTTTCTCTGGGGGGGGTCCCTTCGACGCGCGTTCGCCTGGGCCTCCTCAGCGTGAGTAAACGGGCGGGCAGCGAAGGGTGCGTTTTGAGTGGTGTTTTCAACACATTCATTTGCCGCGCACAAGTTCGAAGCAAATCCCCCCCGCCAAAAGCCACGATGACGTGCCAACGCCTTTGTCGTCCCGACGTACCACGCCCCAGTGCGAGGTAGATGCCCTCTCGCCCCCTATCCTCGCTGGAACAGGCCCCTTAGCCACCGCCCCGTTTGCAAACGCCGCCCCATTTGCGGAGGCCTGGTCCACCCAGCCCAGCACCCCCCCCCCTCCACGTGTCGTCGCCCCGAGCCGCCCATGGCCTGCCTTGCCCGCCCCGCGCGGGGCGGAGCGACGCGCGCCGCGTACGCGCGCGGGGCACCGCCGCGGCACCACCGCGGCACACCGGGCAGCAGTTCGAGGCCGCAGGAGGAGCGAGGCCATGGAGGGGGGAGCCTGCTTTTTTAGATTCGGGCGCGTTTGCGTGCACGGCGTTTCGCCCCCCCCCTCCCCCCCCTCCTCCCCCTCCCCCCTCTCCCCTTCTCGCCCCTCTCCAGAGGGACATTGGCGTGCAGGTGCCCTCCGGCTTGCGTGATATCCGCACGTGCAAGTCGTCTGCGGCTTGCTTCAGGCTCGACCCCCCCCCCGCCCATGCAAGCAAACTTGCCGGAATTTGAAAAATGATCCCAGTGCGACCCTACCTCGGAGTTGGAGCATCTAGGAAAGCAACATCTACATCTACACCGACAGCTACATTACCATATACACCTGTGTTATGCTATGCTATGCTATGCTATGCTGCGCTATGCTGTGCTATGATATGCAATGCTGCTCCATGATATACTGTGATATGTTATGCTGCGCGATGCTATGAAATGATATGGTATGCTATGCTGCGCTATGCTATGTTAGGCTAGGCTATGCTATGCTATGCTATGCTGCGTTGGGATGCGATATGATATGTTATGATATGCTATACTGCGATATGATATGTTATGTTCTGATATGATATGATATGATGCGCTATGCTATGTTGCGCTGTGATATGATCTGATATGATATGATATGCTAATGATGGGGTGCGCTAACCTAAACTAAGCTGAGATGAACTAAGCTCAGCTAAGCTAAATTAGGCGAGGCTAATCTAAGCTAAGCTACAGCTGAGCTAAGCTAAGCTAAGCTAAGCTAGGCTATGTTGAGTTAGGCTAAGCTAAGCTAAGTTAAACTAGGCTAAGCTAAGATGAGATAAACAACGCGAAGCTAAGGGAACGTCGCTGGGGGAACCGCGGGGCGGATACTGGGGGAACCGCCCGGGGCGGGCCCCACTGCCCGGTCATTTAAGCTTACCGAGAAAGAGCACTTTTAGGCAGAGCCTAGGTAGGGAAAAAACGGGCTCATGCAGGGAGTGCTGCTCCATGGAGGAGGAGGGGAGGTGCGCCCTCGCCCCCGCCGCGGCTTGCCAGGCAGGAGCCCCGCTCTGCAGGCAGGCCGCCCGTGGATCTGTGGCCGAAGGGGAAAGCACACGGTGGCGCTCGACGGGCGCTGGGGCTGCTACAGCCCAGAGCCCCTCGGGTCCTGACGAGATCGCGACGGGAGGTTCTGCGCTCTTCTCAGCCTCTGGTGGCCCTCGCCGTGCCAAGGGACCGTCAACGGACGACCCGGGACGAAACATTTGTCTCGGGAGAGGGTCCAGACCTCTGGGGAGCGTCGACGTCATGACAAGACCATGGATCCGGAAGTCTGGGAAAGGTCAGGAGCGAAAGAAAGACGCACACGTACATGAATCCACGTAGGCCTACTAGTAGGTTTTAAGAGCACGCGTTGCGCGAATGTTCGTATCACGCTGCCGGTCTCGCGGATCGACAAGCCAGGTTCATGTACGTGATTGGGCGCGCACGTGGGCTCCCTACAAGGAGGAGGCAGAGGGAGGCTCCATGGAGCTCGGGGCACCTCTTCTGGGCATCCCTGGAGGCCTCCAGGGGCCTCGGCAGCTTCGGGGAGGCCTCCCATTGGAGGCCTCCCCTGGGGCGGCGTGGTAGACTCGGGGCCAGTTTGACGTCTCTACCCCGTCCCCGGCCCGGGGGCCCTCAGCTGCCAGACCGCGAGGGGGGTGGGGGGGGGTCAGAGGGCCTGAGCAGCCACACGGAGACGCGCGTGAGGTACAGGGAGACGCGCGGATGAACAGAGAGAGAGAGAGAGAACAAACAATCAAAACAAACAAAAAGAGAGAGAGAGAGGAGGATGAGGAGGAGGAGGAGGAGCAGCAGCAGCAGCAGGGAGGAGCAGGAAGAGGGAGGAGGAGGAGGAGGAGGAGGAGGAGGAAGAGGCGGCCGCGAAGGGGAAAGGGAAGGGTGGGCGCACTCAGACTATGTGGCTCCTCTGGTGCAGTGGTGTAGCCTCAGGCTCCAGACGGAGTCCCGCGATTTGGGCGACGGCATGCGGTCAGGAATTTCCCCCTCCTCCTCCTCCTCCTCCTCCTCCTCCTCCTCCTCCTCCTCCTCCTCCTCCTGCACGCCTCGGCGCGACACGCTATCCACGCACGGTTCAGAGCATCAGCGTCCCGAGCTTTTCCCAGCCCCCGCCCCGCGGAGCCGAGCGTCACGCCATGCGTTTGCTGGGCGCAGCGTGTCGCCGGGGCCGTCGCCGCGACATGCTCATCAAAGCGCTAAGCACAAGTTCCCGACCGTACGTCTCGGGCCAGACGAAAAGGGGGGGATTGGGAAAGGGGGGGTTACGACATCTGCTGCGTGCAGCTGGTTTCGGCCCCACCGAGGGGCCCATTCCTCGATGCATAGCCGCCTCCGGCGCCGGGAGGCGCCGGGAGAATCAGTTACGCGAGCTGATTCTCACACTCCCCTTGTGCTTTCACCCCCTTTCGCCCGGCCCGTAAGTCGAGTTAGGCGAGTGCTCCCGCACATTGGCCAGGCCTTCCGCGGCCTCAACAAGGGCGACCAGGTCCAGGTCGCGGACGTGCGCGACGTGCTCAGCAGGCGGAGGGAGCCGCAGAGGGGAGGCGAGGAGGGCAGGACGGGGGGTGGGGAGCGGGGACGGGCGGGGGGGTGGGAAGGGAGGGCAGGGGCCAGGAGGCCTCGGGGGATGACGAGGATGAGGAACGCACGGCCGAGAAGGCAAGAGCTGAACTGCACTGAATTTCTTCAGTCCGCGCGGATTTCTTGCGTCGGCGTTGGGCCCCCCCTGGCGGTGCCTCAGGGGCCGGGGAGAGGGGTCCAGCGCCGAGGCAAGAGATCCGCGCGGAGCTCCGACAAATCATGCGCATGCCCATTCTTGCTTCACTAAGGAAGGTACGGAGTGGAGTGGAATGGAGCCCACAACAGAGCCGTGATCCGAACAACAATGCACCTGGTGTCCCCGCTTGCCTCGAAGACCTCGATGCCGACCGCGACGACAAACACGTGGAATGTTCACCATGATTTCAGGTCCCTCAGCCCAGCCACCACGAAGGTAACACTGAGCAGTGAATGGCAAAGAGGGGAGGAGTCGGCACGAAGAGCTGCCCGCTGCAAGCTCGACGATGAGATTCGAGGCGCACGATGTCAAGGAGAGCGGGCTGGGAGCAGAGGCCTCGACCCCAGGATGCTCCAGGATCTCCGTCCAGAGTCCCCTTGTCCTCCTCCTCCTCCGCACAGGTGTGGCGAAACGGCACAAGTCCATGTTGTATCTCTCCTGCATTACGACGGAGGGAGATCTTTTCCAGAGTTTCGGTTGGGAGGGTCTGAGGAGTCGGTCTTGCTCACGTGCGGCTCTGGCAGGGTGGGTAGCATCATAGCTAATGTCCGAGGAGACGCAGATGTACGAACCATGTCATACTCGTTTGTCCAGCTTCCTGAAGGTTTTCTGGCCACGTGTTGACTCTGTGTTCGAAGCGAATGGTGCTCGCCCCATCGAGGTCACATGCGCGTCTTGGCAGGGTTCCAGGTCGTCGTGGTCCGCATGGTGATCTGAGTAATGTGCTTGAGGCAATCCGAGTTTCGCTCTTCTCCGATGTCTTCTGAATGGGCGGGGCTTTCTGAGGCTTTCAGAGGCTTTTCGATCCGACCTGGTCGCTACACCCAGAACTCCAGAACTCCTCCTCCTCCTCCACCTCCTCCTTCTCCTCCCCCTCCTCCTCCTCCTCCTCCTCCTCCTCCTCCTCCTCCTCCTCCTCCTCCTCCCCCTCCTCCTCCCCCACCTGGGCGCATGATGTCAGGGCTCGCTGCGCCCACACGGCCAGGCACCGCAGGGCTCGCTGCGCCCAGGCCCAGGCTCCGCAGGGGTGTCGCGGGCCCCCTGCCGGCAGATGCAGCGGGGCCCCGGCCCTGCAGCGCGGGCGCGGCGCTCCTGCGGCATCCCAGGATGACCTCGGCCCGGTCGCCACGCATCTCGGCGTACAGCACTC